AGCTGGGACCTCAAGTGGCTTTCATGTGGCTGTCTTAGTTGTGTGGGCTGGGTAGGTGTGACCCCAAGAGACACTGGATATAGGTGAGTATTGCTCAGGGAATCCCAGAGGCCAAGCAGATTTGTCTGGGCAGATGGGGAGGTCATCCAGAGGGGAGGGGGCGGGGCGAAGAGGAGAACTTGCTTGTATTTAGTCTGTTTTTTTTTCTTTCTTGTGTGGTAGTGGGGCTTGAATTTAAGGACCGCGTGCTGTTTGAGATTTTTTTACTCAAGGCTAGTACTCTGCCACTTTGAGCCATAACTCCACTCTTGGTTTTCTGGTGGTTAATTGGAGATAACAGTCTCACATACTTTCTTGCCTAAGCTGGCTTTTTTTTTTCTCCCCCAGTTGTGGGGCTTGAATTCTGGGCCTGGGTGCTGTCCCTCAGCTCTTCAGCTCAAGGCAAGCACCCTACCAGTTGAACCACAGTGCCACTTCCGGTTTTCTGGAGATTTATTGGAGATAAGAGTCTCATGGACTTTCCTGCCCAGGCTGGCTTTGAACCAAGATCCTCAGATCTCAGTCTCCTGAGTAGCTAGGATTACAGGCGTGAGCCACCTGCACCTTGCTGGTAACTGTCTAGGAGTTTGTGAAATCATAACCAGCACAAAAATAATAGCAACTGGCAAGTGACTGAAAACAAATATTACCTGATCAGTTAATTAGCCAGCTACCTACACATGATATCCAGTGTTTCGAGAATCTAGGCCCTGGGGCCGCCCTCTATCACTCCAGAGCCCTTCAACATTGATTTCAGCATGGGAGTGACTGGTTGTCCTCCAGTGGTCAGCTCAAGTGAGTTCATTGTGAGTGGCCAGCTTTCCCTTCCAGTGAAGAGTTTGGTGCTGGTTGTGGTGGTAAACACCCAAGGCTCTCTCTGCTCAAGTCACTTCTTTGAATTAAGCATTGTCTCCAGAAGGCCACTGTGAAATGCATGTTACTGGGACTCAGGGTGGTAGTGATTCCTCAGACCCTTGACTAAGACAACAGCTGGACGCGAGCCCTGATCAGTGATTGCAAAATCAAAAATTTAATTCCCACATATATGTTGCACAACTCAGTTGATGTGGAGAAGTTCTAGTCAATCCTGTATCATTGTCAGTTGGATTAAAAATCATATAATCTGATGTTTTGTGAAAATCTACCTCCCAAAAAGCAATGGCTGCACTGGAAGCATGATTCAAGTGGTAGAATACCAGCTGTGAACGAGAAAGCCAAGAGGAAGTGTGAGTTCCTAAGTTTAAGCCCTAGTACCAACACATACACACAAAGTAAACGATTCCAGGGCTGGGAAGGTGGCTCAGTGGTAGAGCGCTTGCCTTGCATGCATGAGGCCCTGGGTTCGATTCCTCAGCACCACATAAGCAAAAAGAAAAAAGCCGGAAGTGGCGCTGTGGCTCAAGTGGTAGAGTGCTAGCCTTGAGCTGAAGAGCTGAGGGACAGCGCCCAGGCCCAGAGTTCAGGCCCCACGATCGGACCAAAAAAAAAAAAAAAAGTAAACGATGCCCTAAAAGCAAAGTAAAAGGGCACATAATGTGCTTAATTGAAGTGACAAAGTGAATGTTTTAGATTTGTTGAAATATTGCATTTTTTGGCATAAGCTAGATGATGGTATGGACAAAAATGAGTCCAACACCTGCAGTATTAGAGACAAAGTTTTAGTGAGCAGTGTTAGTGTGTATAGCAGTGATTTTATGACAGCAGTGTAGTCTGCTCCCTGGGGTTTTAAGCTATGGGTGCTCAGACCTACTGTTCGGTGAGATGGGTAAATTGGAGTAATTTTAGAGTTAGGTGTCCTGAGCGTTTGTGGGTTTTCCTCAACAGCAGCTTTGGGGCCATCTATTTATAATACTCATGGTGGTGTTTTATCAGTTTCTTTTCTTCTTGCTAGAAACACAAAATTTTTCTCTAGTTTTCACCCTGAGAACCCCCATGACTGCGCCCCCCGGAAGTCTTTTTGTTGTTGTTGTTGGTTGTAGGGCTTGAACTTTGGGCAGGGGGCGCTGTCCCTCAGCTCTTCAGCTCAAGGAGAGCGCTACCGCTTGAGCCACAGCACCACTTCCGGTTTTCTAGTGGTTTATTGGAGATAAGAGTCTCATGGACTTTTCTTGTCTGGGCTGGCTTTGAACCGTGATCCTCAGATCTCAGCCTCCTGAGTAGCTAGGATTACAGGCGTGAGCCACCAGCGCCCAGCACCCCCAGAAGTCTTTATCTCAAGCAGGTCGATGCTCTGCCCTGCCTAGTCCTCTCTGCAAGATTGCTATTCCTGGGGAGGTGTGATTCTTCACATGTACCTGTCTTGGGGAGCAGACTTGAACTATATGGATCTGATTTTCAGCTTGCCAGCTTTTCTTGTTGTAAGGTTGAGAGAAACAACTTTACATGTTAGAAACAACTTTACATGTTAGATGGCATTTACATTTTTATTCCTTTATTCTTTGTGACGCTGAAGTTTGAACTCAGGGCCTTGTACTTGCTAGGTCACTTGTACTTGAGCCACCCTTTTTGCTTGGATTATTTTTGAGGTAGCTTTCTTTTTTGCTTGGCCTAGTCCGGACCACAATGCTTCTATTTACACTTTGTTTACAGCTGCTGTACCACCATAGCCAGCTTTTTGTTTTGAGATGGGGTTTTGTAAACTTTTTTGTCCAAGCTGACCTGGAACAGTGATCTCCCTATTTTAGTCTCCTGTATAGCAAGGATGAAAGCTTTTGCCCATGGGGCTGGGAAGGTGGCTCAGTGGTAGAGCGCTTGCCTTTGCATGCATGAGGCCCTGGGTTCGATTCCCCAGCACCACATAAGCAAAAAGAAAAAAAAAAAAGCTTTTGCCCAACTGTTCTCAAACTTTGATACCTGATTTCTACATCCCTAATAGGTAGGTTTCAAGTGTGTGTCACCAGTACCCAGTACCCAACCACCAGTACCCAGTACCCAACCACCATCTTTTTTTTTTTTTTTTCTTGTCCTGGGGCTTGAACTCAGGGCCTGTGTGCTGTCCCTGAGCTTCTTTGTGCTCAGAGCTAGTGCTCTGCTCTATCACTTGAGCTACAGTGCTGCTTCTGGTTTGTTCTGAGTGGTTCATTGGAGATAAGAGTCTCATAGACTTTCCTGCCTGGACTGGCTTCCAACTGTAATCCTCAGATCTCAGCCTTCTGAATAGCTAGGATTACAGGTGTGAGCCACAGGTGCCCAGCACTTTTTTGGGGGGAGAGGGTGGGGTCATGAGGCTTGAACTCAGGCAAGGCCCTAGGCACTGTCTCTGAGCTTTTTTGCTCAAGGATATGTGCCACCGTTCTACTTCTGGCTTTTTGGTGGTTATTTGAAGATAAAAATTGCATGGGCTTTCCTGACTGGGCTGGCTTTGAGCTATGATCCTTAGATCTCAGCCTCTTGAGTAGCTAGGGTTACAGGCATGAGCCACCAGGGCCAGTTTAATACAATTATATTGTTACTGAGGTTGTGTTCAGAGGGGTTACCATTTCACAATTAAGGTCATACATACATGTATGGTTTAAGGAATGACACAAATGTTAAATACAAGAAGTCTGTTCTATTGCCGGGCACTGGTGGCTCATGCCTGTAATCCTAGCTACTCAGGAGGCTGAGATCTGAGGATCTCGGTTCAAAGCCAGCCCGGGCAGGAGAGACTGTGAGACTCCTATCTCCAATAAACCACCAGAAAACCGGAAGTGGCGCTGTAGCTCAAGTGGTAGAGCGCTCGCCTTGGGCTGAAGAGCTGAGGGACAGCGCCCAGGCCCAGAGTTCAAGCCCCAGCCCAAACCCAAAAAAAAAAAAAAAAAAAAAGAAGTCTGTTCTATTGATGAAAGTGAACCAAGCAACCCATGGATAGAGATGGGAGGGGCAGAATAACAGAGGAGAGAACAGATGATACTAAGCAAAAGGAAAGAAACGTACTTATTACCCAGGATATGTAAAGGTAACCCTGCTGTATACATCACCTCTAGAACAAAAGTCTGCTCTTATTCCAGCACTTTGGGAGCTGAAGCATTTAGACCATGACTCATGCCTAGGCCCTGTCGAAAGCCCTCTCTATTCCCCCAAATGGAAGTCTTCTAGGAAGATACCAAAAACCCCAAAAAAAAAAAAAAAAAAGTCAAGCCATTAAGAACATTGTGTTTGTGGGGTCTAGTGAACATACCAGACACAGAGCTGCCATACATAGCCCTCTAGATCAAAGCCATTTCATCAAGCTTTGCTGAACAATAGGATGTCACAGACTGGTAATCAAGGGAATACAAACATATTCTTGGTTCTGGAGGCTGAGAAATCCAAGATGAAGGGGCTGTGTCTGGTGAGGGCCTTTCTGTGAGGGTAAGAGAAGCCCTGGGTGGTTATGGCACTCAGGAAGTGGATGTAGGAGGATCCTGAGTTTGAGGATAGCCTGGACCAGAACTACATTGTGAGTTCAAGACCAACAGGGCCTTTTCTCAAACAAAAAGGAGAGTAAGAGAGTGGGGAGTGGGTCAAATTCATCCTTTTATTAGGAACCACTTTGTTGTAAATGATACTAGTTCCTCATGACCTGATCACCTCACCAACACTGTTGTGTTGGGGATTAAGTTTCCAACACAGGAATTTGGGGAGTCCCATTCAAATCAGAGCACTTCATTTCTCTATTTGTGTACACTTAGTTGTGTGCTTTATAGTGTATTTTTTGTGGAACTGTTTGTGGTGCTCTTGTTTCTAGTTCTGCCAGTTCAGACAGATTTTATTGCAACGGTTTGGGGTGTTCTTTCAGGATTTATAGTGATAACCTTGAATGTAGGGATGTAGGGATTGTGGGAGGGTTATCAGTTCAGGGAGATTCATCTTCTAGAGCTGAGACGGAGCTCTGCAGAACTCAGGCCTGGAGGATGAGGAACTTGGTATATATTCTGTCATGATAGTGATTGTCTTGGCTCCACATCTCTCCTGCTTCTCATTGCACTCTTCTCTCTCAGTATTTAGGTCAGTTAACGTCCATACCAGGATACCTGAATCCCTCCAGTAGGACTGAAATCCTGCATTTCATAGATAATGCAAAGGTAACTGTCCTGCCCCTTGGCTTGCCTCTGCCCTCCACCTCCTCTTGGCTAGGATGGTCAGTTCCACCACATTAAGGGTCCTCTGGGCTCTTGGCCATAGGGCCATTTCTGTCTACCATTGTGCTTAGACTTACTCTGTGTGGTTTTGGCCCAGTCCCTAGTTTTTCCAGACCATGCTGGGTTGAGCACATTGGTGTCGCTGGAGTAGTACCGCTGTGCTGTGGTGGACAGCACTCTTTTCACTCAGAGCCGGCCACGCATGTGACTCAGCCAGCAGTGCTGCTGTGGAAGAGCCCGAGGTAGCGGGTCCACCATGTCTGATGCCCTATGGTTCTTTCTAGCGAGCCCGCAAACTGCCTGGACACCTGACACAGGAGCATGATGCTGTGCTCAGCCTGTCTGCCTACAATGTCAAGCTGGCCTGGAGGGATGGGGAGGACATCATCCTCAGGGTGCCTATTCATGACATCGCCGCTGTCTCCTACGTCCGAGATGATGCAACACACCTGGTGGTCCTGAAGACAGGTGTGGACTGGGGCCTTGGCCTAAGGTGTAGACAGGCATGGATTGGGGCCTGGGCTAAGGCATAGACAGGTGCGGACTGAGGCTGTGTGCTAAAGTGTAGAGGGTGTGGGGTGGGACTATGGACTAAGGTGTAGACAGGTGTGGAGTGGGACTGTGGGCTAAGGTATGTCCAGGACATTCATGACACTCAGAGACAGCTTCTAGAACTCTATGCTGGTGCTGCTGCCTGTTTGCCCTGAGAATTTGCCCTGCCCTCCCCCAGTGCAGCAAAGAAGTATTTGTGGTCAGCCGTGGGGCCCTGGTCTCCTGACACCGTGGCACCTGAGGGATGCATTGCTTGGGACCAGTCTCTAGTCCCCTCCTCCTGGAAAGCCTCCACTCCCCAGGCAGCCATATGCTGCTGCTCTCACTAAAGCATAGTAGAGCCCCAGGTAGAATGCTGGCCTTGAAGTCTGGTTAGGACCCCCAACTCCAGCTCACCCGTTAAGCTCTGCGGTCTTCTGAGAGCTGGTGCTGCAGAGGTGAACTGCCCTCAGGAGCTCTCAGTTCATGCGTGGGTAGGAGGGGCCTTGGTGGATTCCTGAGCCCAAGGCTTAGAGGCTGGTGCCTCATTGTCATGCTGTGCTGACCTGATGTGCTGTCTCTTCTCAGCCCAGGACCCTGGCATCTCCCCCAGCCAGAGTCTGTGTGCAGAAAGCTCCCGTGGCCTCAGTGCAGGTTCCCTGTCGGAGTGTGCAGTGGGGCCAGTGGAGGCATGCTGCCTGGTCATCCTGGCCATGGAGAGCAAGGTGAGACCTCCTGCTAGCCCATCCGTAGCCCCAATCTCTCTGTCCATGGTCGACTACCTTCAGCTCTGCCCACAGCCCACTACTACCTCTAACCAGGCTCTGCGTTGGCCACAGCTAGCCCTTCCTCCTCATCTGCCTTGCGCTGACCCAAGCACTTTCCCCTACTCTGGCCCATCCCTGACCAGGCCCTACCCCTAGATCTGCTCAGGCCCTGCCCATATTCTAACCTGGGTCCCATCTATAACCACACCCACTGCTTATCCTGGCCTTGACCACGGACAGCCCCTTCTCTGCCTGACCCTTGCCCTCCAGCCCTCTCCCTCCGACCCTGAGATGGCCAGCTGAGCCTTTGCTTATTGTTTTCCTCAGGTCACCTCCCTCCCCCACACCGACAGATAGGCCAGGGCGTGGTGACCTGCCCAGTAGTATGAGCCGGGCTTGCAGATCTTCCATGTCCGCAGGCAGGATGGTATAAAGGGACATGTGGGTTAGGATGGGCCTATAGATTCAGATACAAGCTCCTCTTAGCCACCCAGTGGCTACTGGGCCTTGGAAAACCATCTCATACCTTTTAATTCTTTGTATGTGTGACTGTCCACTCTGAGTATCCTCTCATTTGTGTTTCTCAGCCTTGGTGCTGTACCAAGCAGTTCTTTGTATACTATATCCTCCCTAGGCCAAAGCCATGCCCAGCTGCTCCCCCATGTCCCACCACATGGTGTCCCTTATACATAACTGCATTCACAGGTGCTGGTGGCCTCCTCCCTTTGCTGAGGCCTGGGGAGGATGCTGATGGGCCACTTAAGTGGTAGAGGAGGCAGAGCTGGCTGCTGACCCCTGGGTCTTCTATGGGAACCCAGGTCTCTAGCTTCTATCTGTCCCAGAGAGAGTCCTGGAGTGGCTCACTGATAATTCTTTTTCTGACAGCCATGTGGACACCTTTGACTCAGTGTCTGCTCCCCATTAGTATTTATGTCTGGAAGCCTCGTATGTATGTGGCCCTGGTCATAAACACAGCAGCTGCTACTCTCTGCCCACTGCAGGTTGCCGCGGAAGAGCTGTGCTCCCTGCTCAGCCAGGTCTTCCAGATAGTTTACACGGAGTCCACCATCGACTTTCTGGACCGAGCCATATTTGATGGCGCCTCCACACCCACCCATCACCTGTCCCTGCACAGCGGTATGTTAAGTGAAAGCAGCAGTAGAGTTCAGGCACTGTGAATGCATTTTCTCCTGGCAGGGGCATGCTGGGAAACCAGGAAGGCTGAGCAGGTTTCTCAGGAAACCTCCTTCCAGCACACCCAGCCTGGTTGCTGTCAGTGGAAGGCTTCTCCCAGAACCCCTTGGGCTGCTTCTGAGCTTGAGGCTGAGGGGCGTGGGAAGAACCAGAGGCTCCTCAGGCCCCACCGCTGGAGCACCTCCGCACATTCCATCGCAGCTCGCTGCCAAGTGCACTCAGGCATCTATTAGTCCATGAAATACTTCCTTTAATTAATTAACTAATAAACATTTGTTCATTTATTTTTGTCCTGGGGCTTGAACTCAGGGCCTGGGCACTGTCCCTGACCTTCTTTTGCTCAAGGCTAGCACTCTACCACTTGAGCCACAGTGCTACTTCCGACTTTTTCTCTTTATATGGTGCTGAGGAATGCTAGGCAAGCACTCTTCTACTAAGCCACATTCCCAGCCCAACACTTCCTGTATGACATTTGCTGGATTTAGGTCTCCTCAATACCACCAGCACCTGGTTTTATATACTCTATTGCTCATTAAGGATTGGTAGCTTACACAAATGAGAGGCATGCAAAGATATTGGAAACAGTGTAGCTTGTTGCCTGAGGTTTCTTTTCCTGAAGAAGAACCCCTGTCTTTGCTCCTTCCTTGGTAAGCACAGGTAGAAAGGGCACTCTGTGTTCACAAAACTCAAGGAGTCCTTTGGGTAAGTGTGAGTCCCAGTCCTAGGTTGAGGCTCTGCTACCTGTCTCCATTCCTTCTCCCGCCCCCCCTCCCCCCCCCATCCCAAATTGTTGTCACTGATACTAAAGCCCCTCTGGCCCCAAGCTGGCCTCACCTCACAGTGATGCTCCATACCCAGCTTCTTGGAGCCCTTTATCACCAATGACAGAGCAGCCCCCTTCATTCCTGGTTTGCAGGTGGAGGCCTGGAGATTGACCAGGGTAACAAGCAGTTCCACGTTTGGTTTGGCCATTGGCCATTAAAATTCCAGTTGAGTTTTTTTGTTGTTGTTTTTTCTTTTGGTTGGTTGTGGGGCTTGAACTCTGGGCTTGGGCACCGTCCCTGTGCTCTTCAGCTCAAGGCAAGCGCTCTACTGCTTGAGCCACAGTGCCATTTCCGGTTTTCTAGTGGTTTCTTGGAGATAAGAGTCCCATGGACTTTCCTGCCCGGTCTGGCTTTGAACTGTGATCCTCGGATCTCAGCCTCCAAAGTAGCTAGGATTACAGGCGTGAGCCACCGGCGCCTAGATGTATTTTTTTAACTGAAAAAGTATACAGATTCTATGTCCTGCTGTGCATGTTCTTGTAAGGGAATTGTACTTGTAAATCCACTGTTGGGTGCCAAGTGGGTCTCCTTGCCTGCTGTCCTGTCCTGAGGCCTTCTAAGGGCTGCACGTGCACCCCATGTGCACACAGACCTCCCCCCTCCCCCCCCTTCCCCCCTCCCCCCCCCCCCCCCACACAGCAAACTACTCTCCTGCCTGCTGGCTTTATTCTTCTGAGGGACACGTGGGCAGAGGGAGCAGCTCAACAGCGTACATGTGCTCCTAGCCCTGTGAGTGGCCAAAGCGGCTTTGCGTCCATAGGGTGCTTGCCCTTTCCACCTTGCAGAAGTTCCCACATGCCTTCCCCATCTTCTCTTTTGTCACCTGGCCTCTGCTGTTTTCTGTAGTCACATCTCAGCATCCCCCTGCCACATTTAGAACCTGTGCTAGAGACTTTTTAATCACCGAGAAATACCTGAAATAGTGTAAAAGGAAGGAGCTGGGTGCTGGTGGCTCACATCTGTAATGCTAGCTACTCAAAGGCTAAACTCAGAGGGTCAAGGTTTGAAGCCAGCCTGCACAGAAAAGTGCAAGATTCAGTCTCCAATTAGCCACCAAAAAGCTGGGCTGAAAGCATGGTATAGGTGGTAAAACACCAGCCATGAGTAAGCAAGCCAATTAAGAGCACAAGGCCATGAGTCTAGGCCCTAGTACAAACAGGCTAAAAACTTTTTTTTTTTTTTGGTCAATCGTGGGGCCTGCACTCTGGGCCTGGGCGTTGTCCCTGAGCTCTTCAGCTAAAGGCCAGCACTCTACCACTTGAGCCACAGCGCCTCGTCTCGTTTTTTCTGCTTATGTGGTGCTGAGGAATCGCCCAGGGCCTCATGCATGTGAGGCAAGCACTCCACCACTGAGCCACCTTCCCAGCCCCCTAAAAACTTTTCAGTCACTGGCTCCATTGTTTCTGGACCATGGTAAAGCAGAACATCATGGAGGGGCAGCATGAGAGACAAAATTGCTTACCTCACTGCAGCCAAGATTCAGAGACAAAACAAAGAGGACCCTGGCTGCGAGCTGGTGGCTCATGCCTGTAATCCTAGCTACTCAGGAGGCTGAGATAAGAGGATTGCGGTTTAAAGCCTGCCTGGCTAGGAAGGTCCATGAAATCCTTATCTCCAATTAATCACCAGAAAACTGGAAGTGGAGCTGTGGCTGAAAGTGGTAGAGTGCTAGCCTTGAGCACAGAAGCTCAGAAACAGTGCCTAAGCCCTGAGTTGAGTTCAAGTCCCACTACCAACAACAAAAAAGAGGATTCTGGACAGGAGCAGCCCATGGATAGCCCCAGTGGCCTAAATTCCTATGCTAACATCCTCCCAAAGTAGCACCACCAGCTGTGGCCCACGCCTGCAGTCTGAGCCTTTTTGTGGAATATTTGGTTTCCAAACCATAAGCTCAACTGCCCTTTGCTATGTAAGGCAACAGGGCACAGTTCCTGGGGTTCAAACATGGGCACTGCTGGGGCCAGTTGATGCCCAGCCTCCTTCCCTTCCCTGGTTTCTATTGCTGGAAGTGTCACTTTCTCTTTTCTTGTTTTCCTTCTGCTCCTGTAAAATCCTCCCTTCTGCTGGGCCCCCACATTCACAGTTTTCACTTGCTGTCTGTCCTGATGTTGCAATGCCACTTTCCTTGGCTTTGGAGCAGCAAACAGCAGACTACCACACAGTACCACACAGTCATTTGTTGGACATTACCCAGATAGCTGTTTTGTACCAGAACTTCCATAGGCCTGAGGGTTTTGGAGCCTCCTTTGGATGCCTCAGAACTGTCCAGGCTGGGTCAGACTACCTAGCTCTGGTTTTTGCTGTGCAACTTAGGATAAGTGACATGACTTCTCTGATTTAGGTTAGCATATCGTTGACACCCCCAAAGGAGCTGTTGTTACCTGAGCCATGTGTGTCAGCTATGGACCCCATCTCAGCTTGCAGCACGATGTATACTGGATGGAATCCCCAGGAGGATCCTCAAGTCTGGGAGGCCTGCTATGGGCATACAGTATATGACATGCTACAGGAATTTGGGGTCCTGTTCTGTAGACGCAGCATCAGGGTTGAGCAGCCTCTTTTGTTGTTGTTGTTGTTGGTCATGGGACCTGAACTCTGGGCCTGGGTGCTGTCCCTCAGCTCTTCAGCTCAAGGCTCATGCTCCACCACTTGAGCCACAGTGTCACTTCTGGTTTTCTGAGTGGTTTCTTGGAGATAAGAGTCTCACGGACTTTCTTGCTGGCTTTGAACTGGGATCCTCAAATCTCAGTCCCCCGAGTGGCTAGGATTACAGGTGTGAGCCACTGTGCCTGAGGGCTGGAACGCCTGCCTATACCCAAAGTCACCCGTGTCTTTCCTGTCCTTACAGATGACTCTTCCACGAAAGTGGACATGAAGGAGGCCTACGATGCGGAGGCTAGCACTTTGTGAGTGTACCAGGCCCTGGTGGGCAGGCGTGGGCATTGCCCTGAGTTGTCAGCCCCCTGGCCCACCTCAGCCCCGAGTTGCCCAGAGTCCCACGCCGACACTGCACCCATGCTGTGCCTACTTCTACAGCCCTTGCCACCCTCTGGCCTCTCCTGTCTCACGGCACCATGGATAGTAGTCTTTTGTACCTTTCCATCCCTTCCTGCTGCTGTGTGCACCTGTGTGGCCATTCTGCCACACGCGCTCCTGTTCAGCTGCTCACCTCTGCCCATGCAGGCTGTCCCCTGGGCCTCCCTCTGAGCTGCTCGCCCCTCTCCAGTGTTGCCCAGGCCCCTGTCCTATGAACTTCCTTTCCCTTTGCCAGTCCTGTGAGTGCCTAGGACCAGGCTGGATGGGACTCTGTCCCCCACACACACAGCCATGTCCAACCAGCTCTCCTCTGGGATGGTCATAGGAGGCCCCTGGCACCCACAGCTCTCACCAGGCACCTGAAGTGGGTGTGGGATGCAGAGGTAAGGAAGCTGCCTGCCATTCGCTGTGTTCCTTTGCAGTTGCTTCCCTGACCCTGTGGATGGGGGAGGCCTGCCGCCCCTGTCCTTCTGCATGCAGACTTCACCCCATGGCAAGACTGTGAGTGAGAGCGAGTTGAGCACCAGCGCCACGGAGCTGCTGCAGGATTACATGATGACGGTAGTGGGCGGAGCCGCTGGGCTGTGGGCGGGCTGTCTAGTTGCTTTTGTTAGTGTTGCGCTTTTCCCTGGGATGTTCTGGGGGTGTGAGTTGGTGAGCCTGAATTGAGAGAGATAGACTAGCAGCCTGGACCACCCTGGGGACAGGCCCTGGGTGGGAAGTATGCCTCCTGCTGTGCGTGGTCCACATCTGACCTAGTGGTTTTGTTTTGTTTTTTCCCAAATAACAAATTTTATTTCTATCAATATATATCACTTCAACCATTTTTATTGCTATACTTCTTTGATATAGATACATACCTGGCCGGGCACCGGTAATCCTAGCTACCCGGGAGGTTGAGATCTGAGATCAAAGTCAGCCTGGGCAGGAAAGTCTGTGAGACTTTTTTTTTTTTTTTTTTTTGCTTCCAGTCGTGGGGCCTGAACTCTGGGCCTGGGCGCTGTCCCTCAGCTCTTCAGCTCAAGGCTAGCGCTCTACCACTTGAGCCACAGCGCCACTTCCGGCTTTTTTCTTTTTGCTTATGTGGTGCTGAGGAATCAAACCCAGGGCCTCATGCATGCAAGGCAAGCGCTCTACCACTGAGCCACCTTCCCAGCCCCAGTCTGTGAGACTATCTCCAATTAATCACCAGAAAACCAGAAGTGGTGCTATGGCTCAAAGTGGTAGAGCCACTAGCCTGGAGTTGAAGAGCTCGGGGACAAAGTTTAAGCCCCACAACCAACAAAAAAATAAAAAGAGACACACACCTATTCAGGACATAATAGACTACAAACATGATAAAAATAACAAAATCAATGGCTGGGAAGGTGGCTCAGTGGTAGAGCGCTTGCCTCATATGCAAGAGGGCCCTGGGTTCGATTCCTTAGCACCACATATTAAAAAAAGCTGGAAGTGGGCACTGTGGCTCAGGTGGTAGAGCACTGACGAGCTGAAGGAGAGTGCCCAGGCCCAGATTTCAAGTCCTATGGCCAAAAAAAAAAACCCCAAAACAGTAGGAAAACATAAGGATTACTTAATAAGGATTACTTAATAAGTGCTACTATAATTTAAAGTTTTATTTTTTATTATTATAAAGGTTATGTACAAAGAATCTTAGCTAGTTTTATCCACACAATCCCAGTCTTCTTTGGTTTGTGCCCCAAGAGCATTGGTCTTTGCCTTGAGGCACCAGCTCCCTGCCCAGTTCCCCTAGCCCCTACTCAGTCCCCTCAGGGAGAGTGGGCTTGGGAGCGTGGAGCTGTCCCTGGGCTTTGCCTCTGTTCTTCTGGTGACCCGAAGCCAAGGCTGAGGACTGGATTCCTGTGGGTGCTATACCTCAGCGCTGGCCTGGTGCCCTGGTATTGGGGTGAGCCTGCTTTGGGATCAGGGCAGTGGCTATGGTGAGGTTGGGTGCCCACACTTGCTCACTCTGCTCTTCTAGCTGCGCACCAAGCTGTCGTCACAGGAGATCCAGCAGTTCGCGGCGCTGCTGCATGAATACCGCAATGGGGCCTCCATCCACGAGTTCTGTATCAGCCTACGGCAGCTCTATGGAGATAGCCGCAAGTTCCTGCTGCTCGGTGAGCAGAGCCTGGAGGGCCTCTGGTCCCCACTGGGAAAAATCTATCAGCAATGGCAGTCATCAAGATAATGGCTGAGGTGCCCTGCCAGGGAGCAGAAAGGTGTATACTAAGCAGAATCCTATTACCCAAGTGAACAGGCCAGCAGGGGAGTCAGGGCTTTTCAAGCAAGTGACACTGAGTGGGTTCTGATGGTATGTAAGAGTTTGCTGGTTGGGGAGGTAGAAACATCATTGCTGGTGGAAGGGCCTGGCCTTCATTAAGTAACTCAGTGCATTAGCTCCAAGTAGTTGGCAAGCCTGCCACAGACATCTGTGGCTTGGACCTACACAAACTCTGTCACACATTGCGGTGACATGGTATGGCCGTGGCTTTTCCTTCTATGAACACTCAGAACACTGAGTTGACAGTAACTAGTTAAGGCACCTATTTCTCAATAGAACAAGGTAGATAGGTTTATTTCCCTTTTTGCTGGCCTTATGATCATTGGCTGCCTGCTCAGGGCTCCTTGCTGGCTGAAGGAAGATAGATGCCAGATGAAGTTTATTCTGACCTTTAGCTTTTCCCCATGGCCTCATTAGGTCAGTCATCTAGCAGGTCCCTGATCCTGGCACCCAGTTCAGAATATACCTCTAGCAACCCCCATTTTGCTTTCAGGCGAATGCCTCATTTTGAGAAGGGATTGGAATTGTAGCTGGGGAACCAGTGGTGTATTCTGGCCACTCAAGAGGCTGAGAGACCTAGAGGATCACAGTTCAAGGCTAGCCCTGGCAGAAAAGTCTGAGATTCCATCTCCAGTGAACCAGCAAAAGCTGAGCTAGAAGTGTAGTCAAGGTGGTAGAGTGCCAGCCATGAGCAAGAAAAAGCCCTGAGTTTAAGCCCCTGTACTGGTAGAAAGGGTGAGGAGAGAGAGGGAGAGAGGAGATTAGAATTACTGAGCCTGGGATATGCACTGCTTAGAGCCCTGCCCCATTGCCACATGATGCTGTGCTGCCAGGCAGGCAGTTCCCAGCCCCAGAGCGCCCTCTACCACTTCTCATCATTTGAAAACCCTGCAGGTGCTGACAGCACAGCATGCCAGGTTGGGGGCTCCAGGGCTCTAGCTCTGCTATAGGGGGGCACCAAGCCCTCCCATGGGGCTGGCTCTCATTGCCTCTGGACGGAGCCCAGCCTGGCCACTTGCATCAGTGTTCAGAGGTCTTGAGAGACTCCAGGTACTAAGCCTTCTGACAGTGAGGGCAGATTGCTAGTTGGGGTGGTCACGCTGGTCCAGGTCACTGGCTTTGGCCTGCAGCCTGACTCTGGGGACAGCACCTTGCTGCTGATAGCAGGGGGTGGCTTGGAGCGCTGCTCTGGGCTTTGGCTTTCTTACCTATAAAATGGGGTTCTGAAAATGAGAGGGGATGGGCCCAGGCCTGTGCCACACCAAGGCCAGGAAGCATGAGGCCAACAGGCAGCGGGCTGGGCTGCCTGTCAGTGCCCGAGCACAGCACATGAGATGTTAGGTTCTTCACGTTGTGCCCAGGGCAAGCTGTGGTCTGAAACCCATGGGGTGCTCTGTTGGGGTCCTGTGTTGGCAGGTCTGAGGCCCTTCATCCCCGAGAAGGACAGCCAACACTTTGAGAACTTTCTGGAGACCATCGGTGTGAAGGACGGCCGTGGTATCATCACAGACAGCTTCGGCAGGCACCGTCGGGCGCTGAGTACCACCTCCACCTCCACCACCAATGGGAACAGGACCACGGGCAGCCCTGATGACCGGTCTGTGCCCTCCGAGGGGGACGAGTGGGACCGCATGATCTCGGACATCAGTAGCGACATTGAGGCGTTGGGCTGCAGCATGGACCAGGACTCGGCCTGATGGGCAATGGGGGCCGTGTACACCTTCTGCATGGTCCCAAGCCTTCCTGGGAGGAAACGCCCAGCTCTTCTTGTCAGCCTTTCCCACCAGCCAGGGCTGGAGAAGGGCTGCAGGCACAGGAGGCCCCAGGCAGCCAGGTCCTCTACTGTGAAGGGGCGGGGAGCTGCCACTGGACACGCACCCTGGTGCCTTGTCCTCCAGGCCCAGCCATGCCGGGCACCGTGTTCCTGCTCGGGGAGGGCCAGTCCTGTGGACCCGGCCCTGGACAACTGTTAATTTTGCACATGGTGTTCCTCTTGTAACTCTCAGAGACCTTAAAAAGAAGTTTACTACAATGTGAATAATTTAATCTCTAGTTGCCAAGCATGTTTCTAAGTCAGTTGGGTGTCTGGTCCTGGGGCCATGTCTGCCTAAAGCATCCAGAGCTAGGCCCAGTTGAGAGGACTGGGGCAGCGCAGGCAGAGGACGCTGGAGATTGGGACTTGGCTTTGTGGGCATGGGGCAGGGCACATGTTCTGGGGTCTCTTGCATGTGGTGCGGGCAGTGTGAAGTAACTCTGTCCCCTTGCCCATGTTTTTGTCCCATCCTTTCTCTATCCCTAATGAGCACCTGTCCCAAGCCCCTTTGGCTTCCTTCTGGCCTCTGCCCTCCAGACCCCTCCGATACAGGGAGGAGAGGAAGGCAACTCCATGGCAGCGTGTCCTGGGCTCTCCCTGCGCCAGATCTTCAGCTCTGTCTTGACCTGAGGGCACATGCAGAAGCTTACTGGCCCATGGGGCTGAGACGGCACCTCAGGCAGGGGGCTGGCTCTGCAATCATGGAAGGGAGGAGGAGGTAAAGCCCTCGAGGCTCCATGGGTACCGCAGTTGTATCCAGAGGGTCCTGCGGGAACCCCCCTGCAGGTGGGGTGGCAGATCCCTGTCTTCATAGCTTCAGAACAGGACGTCCCTATAGACAGTGTTTTACAGAGAATTTTCCCTGTCTCGCTTTGTGTGTTTGGTCAGAACTGACCCTGAGCCAGGGACAGCGGGGGCACTGGTAGTGCCGTCTCTCGATGTATGTGCAGGTAGCTATCCTGGGAGCATCAGGAGAGGCAGAAGACAAGCCACAGACTGTCCTCTGGGCTCCTATCCCTCTTGCAAAAGCCTATTTGTGCCTAGGTGTCTCAGGCGCCACCCCCCCCAAACACATACACACACACAAATAACAACAACAAAAACACATGCAGCACAGCCTTGCAGGGCTTTCTGTGTGGAGTCAAAAGAAGCAGGATGGCCATCCTCGATGTGGCCAGCGCGTGGGTCACTCACTGGCCTTTGCCAGCAGAGAAGACATGGGGCAGATGCTCAGCCCAGCTGGGCCTGAGGGATGCCACAGGGTGATATGGTGGCAGAGGGTGATGAGGGAGTGCCAGAGGGTCTTCAGGGGACATAGTGAGTGGCAAGCTGACACCAGAGGGTGTTAAATGGATGACAGCAGACAGTGTGACACAGAAAAGTTCTGAGGGGTCACCAGAAGGTGATGGTACGACACTGGTTTATTGGGCAGCAGAGTTGGGAGAGGGGCAGGATGGACCAGCTTCCAACCAGCAGCTACATGGTCAGTTCCTGCAGAAAAATGTACAGAGGGTCACATTGAGGGTGGGCCTCTCCCTGTCACAGCTGAGGCATCTGGAGGGAAGGGGGGACCCACACATGCTCACCATGATGGCATTGACGATATCACTGTGGTTATCTCTTAGCGCTCGCACAGCCTTGGCCCTGGACACGTTGGCCTGCGCCATAACCAGCTCAATGTCCCGTAGCTCCAGCCCAGCCTCATCCACCTGGTGAGGGAACAGTGAGGTTCCTCAGGCCCACCTCCCAGGTGCCAGCAGGGCCTCCTGAAACAGGATGGAACCTGCCTACAGGCAGGGGCCGGGCCTTACCTGTTCCTCCTCCTCTTCTTCCTCTTCCTCCTCGCACGCTGGCCTTACTCGAGGCCCAGGTGCTGACTCGGGCACCAGGGCTGAGGCCTCTGAGGGCACCTTGAACTTCTCTGCAGCAGCTTTGTGCACTTGCTGGGACAGGTCCTCTATCTATAGCGTGGGACAGAATCCTTCAGCAGAGCCCGTCCGCTCCCGGTGCACCACCCTGGCCCTGCCACCTCCCTGCAACCCCAGCCAGGACCTTAGCCTCTCCGAAGACCACATAAGTGTCCGAGGCAGGGCTCTTGAAGACATCGGGCTTGGCGATGACGAATAAGATGTTCTTGGACTTCTGGATGGTGATCCTAGTGACACCCTGGATCTGCCGCAAGCCCAGCTTGGACATTGCCTGAGGCAGAGGACAGTATCAGACTTCCCCGGGTGACCAGGGATGGCTGTCCTTCCTTAGGTGTCAGCTGGTCCTGCAAGGGTCACTAATGACACTACAACCTTAGCTGTTTAGGTTAATAGACTTGACCCGAAGGCCCTCCTTGGGTGGCCATTGGGTCTTAGCCAGTCCCCACCCTACCTTTCGTGCCTTCTTCTCACTGCGGCTCTGTTTGGCTTTGGCGATGGCCTCACTGCTGCCTGTTGGAGCCTGTGAAAAGGTGGGGGCTGAGCCTCTGTGTGAGCATGGGGGCCCACCCACCCTGAGGACCTGCCTACTCCCTTGAGCCAGGCACCTGGGCTGGGCACTGTGCCTTCTGAGGTGCTGAGGTGTCCTGGTCATCCAGCTCAGCTGACGACTCCCCATGGCTGTCTGAGTGCTGGCCCGAGCCTGGGGCCTGCAGTGAGTCTGAGAAAGGGGGAATGGTGTGAGGATGTGTCCCTGCCCCACTCCCCCCAACCCTGGGATATCAGTGCCTTCCCTGGAAGAGTCCAGCTTTACCCTGTACCCCACCTCACCCTCCTCCAGGCTGTCCTCATCCTCTTGCTGGGTCTCATCCTCAGGGGCTGGGTGCCGTCCAGGGCTGGATGGGCTCTGGGCTCCCAAGGGAGGAGGCACTTGGCAGGGGCTTGAGATCCGGGGAACCAGATTCTTGGCTGTGTCTTTGGCATCCTTGGGGGCCGCCTTGGGGCTGAGGAGGAGGCAGGGGGGTGGGAGGCTTACCCGCTGCCTGGCCCCCAGAGGCTTTGTGGTTCCTGAGGTGGCAGCAGCAGCAGTCTGAGACAGCTGGAGGTCCCCAGAGACTGAGGCCCCTTCATCTTTCACAGAGTCTTCCTGGGGGCCAGGACACAGGCAAGGAGCAGAGGGTCCCAGGGCTGGTGAGGCTGTCCCAGCAAGGACACCAGGAGCAGATGGCTCAGGAGCCATAGGCTGACTCTGGGGTATACTTGGCAGATCCCTGGCAGGGTTTTCTGGGGTCTGTGATGGAGGGGAGTCAAGGACATGGAAGGTGGTCTGATGCTGTTTCCCACTGCCTGGGTCTAGCATAGGTTCCTGTCTCTCAGAGGTGGGAGCAGGCTCTTCGGGGCAGCCCCTGTCTGGCCTACATGCTGCCCTTGCTGGGGATTCTGGGCAGGAAATCATGGGAAGTTTGGCTTCCAGGAGGGCCTGGCTGCTGAGGCCCCTTCCTTCTCTAGCTGGGCTCAGGCTGTGTGCCTGCCTGACCTCCGGGCAGGCAGCAGAATATGCCTTGGGAGCTTCCCATGAGTCTTGAGGCCCTGACTTTGCTGCTCCAGGTCCGTGTCCCTGTGCTGATGGCTTAGGCCCTCCACCTCCCATGTTTTTAGTCTCCATGGCCTCCTTTGCAAGCAAGTGGGTCTCGATCCCATTATGGCCTTCAAGCCATGCTTCCTGCTCAGGTGCAAAGAGACCTTCAGCTACTTCATCTCCAGCACCAGAGGCAGGCTTGGGGGTCCTGGGGGCCTCCATGCCCAAGGTGGGACTTGCCTCTTTCCCTGGTGCCCAGAGAGTTGCAGCTTCTGGTGCTGACGCTGGACTATTTTGTTCAGCTGGGGTTGAGGCTGGAGACTCTGGTTCTCCAGGAGCTGCATCCTTTTCTTCCAAAATCAGCCTTGCTCCTAAGGCTACATCTAACTTTTGCCGGGCCCCTGAGGCCCCTGGTGTAGTCCCTGGGCTGCAACCTGCCTTTGCTTGGCCCTGGGAAATGTTCTCAGGCACTGGTTCTGGGCCTAAGGTGGAATCTGAGTCTTGTAGGAGTGGATGTATGGTCACAGGGGAGTCCGGGCGTTGGATGACATCCTTTTCAGTCTTCTGGGGCCCCAGTGTGGCCACAGTCATGGACTGTGGGTCCGAGGTGACGTTCTCCTTTGGAAGTGCTGCCATAGAAGAGTCCTGGGCCAGGATGACACTTGCTTCCATCTCCTGGGGCCCTGGTGTGGCTTCAGCCATGGGTTCTTGGGCTGAAGTGCCATCTCCGTCTGGAAGTGCTGCCAAGGAAGAGTCCTGGGGTGCTGTGACACCTCCATCAACTTGCTGGGGCCCCAATGTGGCCACATCCTCAGGTTCTGGGCCTGAGGGAAGGCTCAATCTACTGTCCTTCAAGTTCTCAAGAAGGTCTGGGCACAAGACAGGGTTGGCTTCTTGCAGAGCTGGCGGTGACTCTGTACCAGTGAGCTCCCAGCCTAAGGAAGCGCCTAGCCCCTCCTGGTAGGGTTGTGGTGGTGCTCTGGTGGCAGGTGCTTCTCTAGCCCAGGAGCTCTCTCTCTCGCCCCCTACCCAAGGGATTGCTTTAGTAGCTGGCTCCACCTGGAGGTTCTGGGCTGCCTGCAGAATTGGAGGCTCCACAATACCCTGGGACTTGTGGACTAAAGGGAGGCTCTTTTCTGCTTTCTCTGCAGTGGATTGCTGGCTGTGTGTGAGACAAATGTCTCCCTTTGAGACATGAGGGATGGCCTCAGGGCCCAGGGTCCCACCCCTGTGCTCCTGCTCTGTCTTCTGGGCACTGTCCTGCAGTAGGGAGCTGGGCTGGGCGTGGGGCTCTGTGCTGTACAGCCTGTCATCATCTGCTCCTGCGTACGAGGTGGAGTCAGAGTCAGAGGAGGCTGCGGACGTGTCATCCCGGAAAGCAAAGGCCTCATCCATGCCCTCGATGATGGACAGGTCAGACAGGGACTGCAGGAATGAGGTGGATGTACTGTCCTCCTCACCCTCTCCTGCCAAGTCTCCATCTGGGATTGGAGCATCAGCTACCACCTCTTCCTCCTCTTCCTCCTCCTCCTCCTCCTCCTCTTCCTCCTCTTCCTCTTCTGGGTACAGCGGTGTCACCTCCACAGCTTCTACCTGGAAGAGGAGGCTGCCCCGGAAGGGCAAGAGGGCTGCGGGGATCATTGGGTCATTGGCCAGGAAGTCCAGGTCAAAGAAGTGGCCTTCCTGGCTCCAGGAAGAGCTGCTGTCTGTGGAGAGGCTGGAC